TGGAAACTTCCTGGAATTTCTTAAAGTATTATAAAATTAGCAAGGCAAAAGATATATAGTATGTTCAGTATAACTGGGTTACAACTTATCTATATATAAACAGAAAGAATCTCTCAAAAGCAAGTGAAACAAGCAGAAGCAACAGTTCTTTAAATTACACTTGATAATACCAGATTTCAGGACATACTACAGCGCAGTTGTTATCAAAACAGCATGGTACTGGTACAGAAACAGATGGATAGACCAGTGGAACAGAATTGAAACACCAGAAATCAACCCAAACATCTACAGCCAACTTATATTTCATCAAGCATCTAAAACCAAGTCCTGGAGCAAGGACAGTCTATTCAATAAATGGTGCTGGGAAAACTCGATTTCCACGTACAGAAGCATGAAGCAAGACCCCTACCTTTCAGCTTACACAAAGATCCACTCAACATGGATTAAAGATCTAAACCTATGACCCAACACCATCAAATTATTAGAGAACATCGGAGAAACCCTGCAAGATACTGGCACTGGCAAAGACTTCTTGGAAAAGAACCCAGAGGCACAGGCAGTCAAAGCCAAAATTAACATTTGGGATTGCATCAAATTGAGAAGTTTCTGTACTGCAAAAAAAAAAGTCAGGAAAGTGAAGAGGCAACCAACAGAATGGGAAAAATATCTGCAAACTATGCAACCGATAAAGGATTAATAACCAGAATCTACAAAGAGATCAAGAAACTCCACAACGACAAAACGAACAACCCACTTAAGAGATGGGCCAAGGACCTCAATAGACATTTTTCAAAAGAGGAAATCCAAATGGTCAACAGGCACATGAAAAAAAGTTCAGGATGACTAACAATCAGGGAAATGCAAATCAAAACCACAATGAAGTTTCACCTCACCTCAGAACAGCTCACATACGGAAATCTACCAACCACAGATGCTGGTGAGGATGTGGGGAAAAAGGGAAACTAACCCACTGTTGGTGGGAATGCAAACTGGTAAAGCCACTATGGAAGTCAGTCTGGAGATTCCTCAGAAACCTGAATATAACCCTACCATACAACCTAGCCATCCCACTCCTTGGAATTTACCCAAAGGAAATTAAATCGGCAAATAAAAGAGTTGTCTGCACCATAATGATTATTGCAGCTCAATTCACAATAGTTAAGATCTGGAATCAACCCAAATGCCCATCAACAGTAGACTGGATAAAGAAATTATGGGATATGTACTCTATAGAATACTATACAGCGGTAAAAAAAAATGAAATCCAGCCATTTGAAACAAAATGGAGGAATTTGGAAAACATCATGCTGAGTGAATTAAGCCAGTCCCAAAGGAACAAATATCATATGTTCTCCATGATCGTGACAACTAACCGAGCACCAAAAAGGAAACCTGTTGAAGTGAAATGGACACTATGAGAAACAATAACTTGATCAGGCCTTGCCCTGTCAAGGAACAACTTATTACTTTATTCCTTTTAGTATTTTTTTGTTCTACTTAATACTATTGGTTGAGCCATGTAATTAACACACAATTATTCTTTTTTTTTTTTTTTGACAGGCAGAGTGGACAGTGAGAGAGAGACAGAGAGAAAGGTCTTCCTTTGCCGTTGGTTCACCCTCCAATGGCCGCCGCTGCAGCCGGCGCACCGCGCTGATCCGATGGCAGGAGCCAGGATCCAGGTGCTTTTCCTGGTCTCCCATGGGGTGCAGGGCCCAAGCACCTGGGCCATCCTCCACTGCACTCCCTGGCCATAGCAGAGAGCTGGCCTGGAAGAGGGGCAACCGGGACAGAATCCGGCGCCCCGACCGGGACTAGAACCCGGTGTGCCGGCGCCGCAAGGTGGAGGATTAGCCTATTGAGCCACGGCGCCGGCTTCACACAATTATTCTTAGGTGTTTACATTTAACTGAAAAGTGATCCCTGTTAAATATAAGAGTGGGAATAAGAGAGGGAGGAGATGTACAGTTTGGCACATGCTCAATCGGACTTACCCCAAATGATAGAGTTAGAAATGTGCCAGGGGATTTCAATTCAGTCCCATCAAAGTTGCATGTACCAATGCCATCTCATTAGTCAAAGTGTCAGTTTCAGCTCATAATTGATCTTAATGACAGGATTAAGAGTCAAAGGGATCATATAAACAAGACAAGTGTCTGCTAATACTGACTGATAGAAATAAAAATGAGAGAATGATCCAACATGGGAAGCGGGATACACAGCAGACTCATAGAATGGCGGATGTCCTAAACAGCACTCTGACCTCAGAATCAGCCAAACTTCCACCTTGACTATGACCTTGTCTAAATAAGATTGGAGTTGGCGAACTCAAGAGGCTTCCATAGCCTTGGCAACTCATGACAAAAGCCTTGGGTGATTACTGATACCATAAATAAGAGTGTCAATTGTTAAATCAACAACAGGAGTCACTGTGCACTTATTCCCCATGTAGGATCTCTGTCTTTAATGTGTTGTACTCAAACAGTACTTTATACTTTGTGTTTCTGTGTGGGTGCAAACTGTTGAAATCTTTACTTAGTATATACTAAATTGATCTTCTGTTTATAAAGATAATTGAAAATGAATTTTTTTAAACTTTATTTTTATTTGACAGGTAGAGTTAGAGACAGTGAGAGAGAGACAGAGAGAGAAAGGTATTCCTTTTGTTGCTTCACTCCCCTAATGGCCAGTATGGCCGGCACTGAGCAGATCAAAGCCAGGAGCCGGGTGCTTCCTCCCGGTCTCCCATGCGGGTGCAGGGACCCAAGCACCTGGGCCATCCTCCACTGCCCTCCCAGGCTGCAGCAGAGAGCTGGACTGGAAGAGGAGCAACTGGGACTAGTACCCGGTGCCCCAACCGAGACTAGAACCCAGGGTGCGGGCGCCACAGGTGGAGGATTAGCCAAGTGAGCCACGGCGCAGACCTGCAAATGAATCTTGATGTGAATGGGATGGGAAGGGAGAGGACGATGGGATGGTTGCGGGTGGGAGGGAGGTTATGGGGGGAAAAGCTGCTATAATCCAAAAGTTGTACTTTGGAAATTTATATTTATTAAATAAAAGTTAAAAAAATTACACTTGATAACATAGATGAGCAAGTTTCTGTAATAGTTCATCCTGGAGAAAGCAAATTTTACAAGTCACCAGGCTGTGACAAATATAAATGACACATTTCAAGTAAGATTTAAAATACAGTCTCAAAAACTCACATAAAACCAACACTAAGAATTTAATTTTTAAATAATTCAGAAGATATGGAGAACTTAATAGAGCAGAAGCTATGAGAGAAATTTAATCTCTAAATAAAATGTGCCTGCAAACAAAATGCCCAACACTACAGAATTAAAGGTCAATCACATTTTGCTAATTTACAACAATGTAATATTAGAGTAGAAAAAATTTTTTATAAAAAGCTGAAAATGGCCGGCGCCGCGGCTCACTAGGCTAATCCTCTGCCTTGCGGCGCCGGCACACTGGGTTCTAGTCCCGGTCGGGGCGCCGGATTCTGTCCCGGTTGCCCCTCTTCCAGGCCAGCCCTCTGCGGTGGCCCGGGAGTGCAGTGGAGGATGGCCCAGGTGCTTGGGCCCTGCACCCCATGGGAGACCAGGAAAAAGCACCTGGCTCCTGGCTCCTGCCACCGGATCGGCGCGGTGCGCCGGCCGCAGCGCGCCAGCCGCGGCAGCCATTGGAGGGTGAACCAACGGCAAAGGAAGACCTTTCTCTCTGTCTCTCTCTCTGTCCACTCTGCCTGTCCAAAAAAAAAAAAAAAAAGCTGAAAATATATACAAATGCTTAAATAGGTGTATTTTCTAAATTATTTAAATACATATATGTCAAGACATGGCAATCAAGATAAAATTTAACCTCTACCTGTTCCATCAATGCAACAATTATGCCAACAGAATCTGTCTGACCTTGTGGTAGTTCTACAGTGAGATCAAGGCTAAAAATCAATTAAAATAATTAGCATAAATGAATGTTAATATAGGTATTTTTCTTTACCTAATTATAATTAGCTATAAAATAGGCATTGAGAAGTTGAATATTCCAATTACATTTTAGCTTAATTCAAATAAAAATAAAATAGGTTCAATTTTATAAATGTAAATAGAATTTAAACACACTGAAGTCTACCTGGGAAATGATCCCATCTTCTGAACAAAAGATCAAAATAATGGCCACCTGATACACTAGATATACTAGAGATTACTATGTGAAGGAAAATTCATATGCTGAGGAAAAGATAAAACAGGAAAGTAGCCTTGGGATTCTTATCTACTATTTGAATTAACTAAATTTAGTGTTTAGTTCCCAAACTATCCTTAGTAGGAATCATTACTTACATCCAACCATACAAGGAAGGCTCAGAAACATTAAAGACATTTGTGAAAGATCACCCTAGTGACAGAGATAGGATTTGAACTCATGTTTGTCTACCTCTAAGGCCCCTGATTATAATCTCCACTGTACTACTCTTTTGGGATATAAATGTTCCTTTCTGTTAATTTCTACACTAGTGAATGCCAACTCCAGTTTGAAAACTCTACAAGAACTTTAGTACCTTTAATAGCCATTATGTGATTATACACATAGATTTTTTTTTTGACAGGCAGAGTTAGTGAGAGAGAGAGAGAGAGAGAGAGAGAGACAGACAGACAGACAGAAAGGTCTTCCTTTTGTTGGTTCACCCCCCAAATGGCCGCCAGGGCCGGCGTGCTGCGCCGATCCGAAGCTAGGAGCCAGGTGCTTCCTCCTGGTCTCCCATGCAGGTACAGGGCCCAAGCACTTGGGCCATCCTCCACTGCCTTCCCAGGCCACAGCAGAGAGCTGGACTGGAAGAGGAGCAACAGAGAAAAAATCCGGCACCCCAACCGGGACTAGAACCCGGGATGCTGGCACCGCAGGCAGAGGATTAGCCTAGTGAGCCGTGGCGCCAGCCCTACACATAGATTTTTATTGAAACTGTAAAGATATGCCATACAAGTTGAGTATCCCTTAAACACAACGCTTATGAACAGAGGTTTCAGACTTTTGAAGTTTTCTGGAGTTTTGAATATGGATTTTATTGGAATTTGCAAATATTCCACTTTTTGAGCATCCCTAATCTGGAAACCTGAAGCCCAAAATCACCCAATTTTAATCTTTATCTTGAAAAATGTATTTTTGTTCTTTTTCTAAAAAAAGAGATGTATTTATTTGTTTGAAAGGTAGAGTGACAAAAAGAGGACATAAAGATGAAAATTTTCCATTTGCTAGTTCACTTCCCCAATGGCTCCAATACCTGTGCTGAGCAAGTCCAAAGCCAGGAGCCAAGAACTCCATCTAGGTCTCCTATGTGGGTGACAGGAACTCAACTACTTGAGCCATCATCTGCTACCTCATGATTGTGTTAGCAGGCAAATCGGGTGGAACCAACGTGGCTGGAACATGAATCGGCACTCCAGTATAGGGTGCTGGCATCCTAAGAGGCAGCCCAATCCACTGTATCACAATACCGTTTCCTGTACTTTTATTCTTTACTACTATGTTATGTTGCAGTATATGCCAGAGAATACTGATAAAACACATGTGTGTAGCACAGTCAAGTCATTCCTTCAATCACGAAGTACCTGGATTAAACAGCCCATAACAGACATCCTATTTCCAAAAAGAAATACCACAAATGGATATAAAATATTTATTTTTTAAAAAAGAAATGACCATTTGCAAAGCTGTTGTATTTTTAACCCCTTGGACACTTTTCACATACTGTTCAGTTTTCAGGATTCGAACTAGACTTATGACTCCAGGGCTTGATTATACCATAATTCTTTTGGAAGATTCTTTTCTAAAAAAATCACACATTTGATATGTTGTATACACTATATATCTTACAAATGTTTAATCATTCCTGCCTCCATTGATCAGTTTCATGTATTTCTTATAACACACCAAATGAGTTTATTGCTAGACATTTTAAGGAATACTAAGATTATTTGAACAAAGCCACATGTTTATGAACATAGTAAGGAACTGCATGACTGTTGGAAAGTCCTTGAAACACTACATTCTACAGTCAAAAACTTAACTATGACCATTGATGGTAAATATAAGTATTTTCATCCACGTTATATAGAATTTCATAACCTCCAGATATTAAATCAACATTACCCCCAAGGCATCTAAATATTTTCTTTCACAGCTTCATCTGCCATTTCTTGAAGTAGCATATCCACTTGGTTCTAGAAAAAGAAAATGAGAATTTACATGTTTTTTAGTTGTTATTTATTTTTACTTATTTGAAAGGCAGAGAAAGAGAGACAGAAAGGGAGAGAGAGAGAGAGAGAAGGAGGGAGGGAGGGGGATGAAGGGAGGGAGGGAGGGAAGGAGGAAGGAAAGAAATAGAAAGGTAGGAAGGAGGGAGGGAAGGAGGGAGGGAGAAGAAAGACTGATCTTGTATCTACAGGTTCACTTCCCAAGTACCTGCAACCGTTGGGGCTTGGGAGGCTGAAGCCAAGAAATTAGAACTCAGTCTGGTTCTCTCATGTGGGTAGCAAGGACTCAAATACTTCGAGTCATCACCTGTTGCATCCTAGTGCGAGCATCAGCAGGAAGCTCTCAGAAGGAGAGCCAGGACTTAAACCTAGGCACTCTGATATGAGATGTGGGTATCTGAAGTGGTAGCTTATTCAATGAACAATGTCTGCTGTATTTTAATGGCATTTGTTTTTAGAGTGACTTTTGTTTCTCATTTTGTTTTTAAAAGGGGAGAAATGGCCTATAATTTTGAAAAGAAAGCTTTTTAAAAATATATTTTAACACCAAAGGAAGCTGAATTATTCAGAATAAGATTTTCCCCCTGAATATTAAATCCTAAAGCCTAAAATATTAGAAGCAAGATTCAGATATCATTTGAATCTGAGTAATATGGCTCTAACATACTGAGACAATTTATAAAGCTCCATTATAACATACTAAGTGAAATTGCATTTTACACATATCAAATTGTTAAGTTTTTCAAAGATTTATTTATTCAAAAGTCAGAGTTACAAAGAGAGAGGGAGAGACAGAGTGAAAGATCTTCCATCCTCTGGTTCACTCCCCAGATGGCTGCAACTGCCTGAGCTGTGCCAATCTGAAGCCAGGAGCCAGATGTCTCTTCCTGGTCTCCCACACGGGTGCAGGGGCCTTAGGACTTGGGCCATTTTCTCTGCTTTCCCAGGCCATAGCAGAGAGCTGGAATGGAAGAGGAGCAGCCAGGACCAGAAACGGCACCCATATGGGATGCCGGCAGTGCCGGCAGAGGATTAACCTACTATGCCATGGCGCCGGCCCCTCAACTGACTTTATACACATATGATTAACTCTATGTTAAATAAAGAGTTCAACAAATAGTATGAAGAAAAAAAAACTGTTCCTCAAAAGTCAAGATAAGGGCTGTTCAAATCATTGCTTCTCAAAGTGTCAATTACACTTCTACAGGTTTTCTTTTAGGTGCTCTATTAGTTATCAAAGATCAGGGAGAACATATGGTATTTGTCCCTTTGGGACTGGCTTATTTCACTAAGTATGATGTATTCTAGATTCATCCATTTTGTTGCAAATGATTGGATTTCATTTTTTTTAAATGCTATGTAGTATTCCATAGAGACCATATCCCATAATTTTTTTAAAGGCATTTTTAGCTTTTATTTAATGAATATAAATTTCCAAAGTACAGCTTATGGATTACAATGGCTTTTCCCCCCCCATAACTTCCCTCCCACCCGCAACCCTCCCCTCTCCCGCTCCCTCTCCCCTTCCATGCACATCAAGATTCATTTTCAATTCTCTTTATATACAGAAGATCAATTTAGCATATAATAAGTAAAGATTTCAACAGTTTGCACCCACATAGAAACACAAAGTGAAAAATACTGTTTGAGTACTAGTTATAGCATTAAATCACAATGTACAGCACATTAAGGACAGAGATCCTCCATGAGGAGTAAATGCACAGTGACTCCTGTTGTTGACTTAACAAATTGACACTCTTGTTTATGGCATCAGTAATCACCCTAGGCTCTTGTCATGAGTTGCCAAGGCTATGGAAGCCTTTTGAGTTCACCAACTCTGATCATATTTAGACAAGGTCGTAGTCAAAGTGGAAGTTCTCTCCTCCCTTCAGAGAAAGGTACCTCCTTCTTTGATGACCTGTTCTTTCCACTGGGATCTCACTCGCAGAGACGTTTCATTTAGGTTTTTTTTTTTGTAGTACAGAAGCTTCTCAATCTGATGTAATCCCATCTGTTAATTTTGGCTTTGACTGTCTGTGCCTCTGGGGTCCTTTCAAAGAACTCTTCGCCAGTGCCAATGTCTTGTAGAGATTCCCCAATGTTGTTTAATAATTTGATGGTTTCTGGTCATAGATTTAGTTCTTTAATCCATTTAGATAGATTTTTATGTACACTGTAAGGTAGGGGTCTTGCTTCATACTTCTGTATGTGGAAATCTAGGTTTGGCATGGTAAATCTCTTTTTTGTCATCCAAGGGGAAGTTTGTTCTTGTCTGTTGGCGTAGACTCAGCTGAGCTCCTCTCCTTGAAGGAGACCAGTGCCTGGGTGCTAGCCCCAGTAGGTATACTATTTGTCCACTCTGCCACAAGGACCTGTGCAGTCCCCAGTGTAAGCTCAGATTCCCCAGCAATGTCCCTCTCCTGGTAACCAGGGAGCCCTGATTGTATGGAGCCTCCCATAGTGACTGCCCAAAGTCCCAACCACACCCTGAGTCCTCCCGCGCAGCCTCAGTGTTTTCACAGACCTGGCACACAAGCCTCCCACATGCACTCAGCCCCCTGTCTGTTCTCCCCACCAGACTGAGGAGTCTCTGCTTGGCTCGTTGCTGGATGCAGACATGAGCTGGTGCAGCAGTTATGTATGTCCAAAGTGGTGCCTGCTCTCTGTCAGCTTGTTAAAGGATGCTGTTGCAGTGTGATCAGGGAGAGAGAACACATGCCCCCGCTTTGTTTTTTCTCCTCTAGTTTGGCAGGTAAACTATACCCTACAGGGCTCCAAGTGGGATTCCCTCTAGACTCTTGCTGCAGCTTTTTCACCAGTACATTGGGCTGCTGGAATCTGGTCTCATTTCACTCTCCAAAGCTGGTGCAGAAGCTGAGTTATACGTGTACACGCCCTCCACATAGATCCACTGTGTCCCTCCAATTTGCATAGTTTCCTCTGCTGTTTTCTCCCTAACTCTTCCCTGAGACTGCAATCTTTCCACTTTTTTATACTATCTTCTCCTAGACTAGAGCAGCAAGCTCCCTCCTACTCTGCCATTTTAATCCAATCTCCCATACTGTGTATCTTATCTGACCACAATGGAATGAAGCTTGAAATTAACAACTTAAGAAACTCCAGAATATATGTAAACACATGGGGACTGAATAACACTCTCCTGAAAAAAAACAGTGTCATAAGAGAAATCAAAAGGGAAATCAAAAAATTCTTGGAAGTGAATGAAGACAACAAACATCAAAAATTATGGGTATCACAAATGAAAAGAGGGAAGTTTACAGTAACTTCTGCCTACATCAAGAAGTTGGAAAGGCATCAAATAAATGATCTAGCAATGCATCTCAAGGACCTAGAAAAACAATAATCCAAACCAAAAATTAGTAGAAGGAAGAAAATAATTAAAATGGAGAAGAAACAAAATTGAGACCAAAAAATGATACAAAAGATCAGTGAAATAAAGAGCTGGTTTTCTGAAAAAAAATAAAAAAATTGATACACCAGTGCACCAATTTAGACAAAAAAAAGGTGTAGAAAAAGACCTAAATTAATAAAATCAGAGATGAAAAAGGTGATGTTACAATGGCTACCGCAGGAAAAAAAGAATCATCACAAATTACTACAAACAACAAAATGCCCACAAAATTGAAGACCTAGAGGAAATAGATAGATTTCTAGACATACAATCTACCAATATTGAATCATAGACACAGAAAACCTAAATAGACCAATAACCAAGATGGACATGGAATAATTAATAAAGTCTCTCCCAAATACAGAAAAACCCAGGACTGAATGGCTGCACTGCATGATTCTACCAAATTTTTAAAGAAGAACTAAATCCTAATTCTTCTCAAACTATTCAAAACAATGGAAAGGGAGGGAATCCTCCCAAACTCTTTCTGCAAGGCCAGCATCAACTTAAATCCAAAATCAGAAAAAGAACAAAGAAAACTATAGACCAGTATCCCTCATGAAATAAGTGAAAAATCTTCAACAAAATACTAGCTAGTAGAATCCAACAACACATCAGAAAAATCACTCACCAAAAGTGGCATTTACCCATAGTAGGCAGTAATGGTTCAACATATGCAAATCAATGTGATACAACCAATTAACAAGTTGAAGAATACAAACCATAGGGTTATCTCAATATATGCAGAAAAAGCATTTGATAAAACAACATTTTTTATGGTAAAAAAAAAACCTTAAGCAAATTGGGTATAAATGGAATATTACTTAGCAGTCAAAGCAATATATGGCAAATCTACAAATAGCATCACAATGAATGGGGAAAAGTTGGAAGCAGTTCCACCAAGAAGTAGAACCAGACAAGGGATTCCACTTTAACCATTACTATTCAATACAGTTATACAAATTTTAGCCATATTCATTAAGCAAGAAAAAAGAAATAAAAGGGATACCAAATGGAAAGGAGCAAGTCAAATTATCTATGTTCATGGATGACATGATCCTCCACATACAGGGAAAACAAAAGAGTCCACTAAGAGACCAATGGAACTCATAAGAGTTTGGTGAAGTTTCAGGATATAAAATCAAAACACAAAAAGCAAGAGTGGTTGTACACAAAGACAATGCCATGGCTGCAAAAGAACTTTTCAGATCACTACCTTTCACAATAACTACAAAACATTTAAATACCTTGGAATAAATTTGACCAAGGAGGTGAAGATCCCTATGATGAAAATTATAAAAAATAAAGAAAGGAAGAAAGAAAGAAAGAAAGGACACAAAACACGGAAGAATATTCCATGTTCATGGATTGGAAGAATTAATACAATCAAATATCCATACTACCTAAAGAAATTTACAGATTCAATGTGATACCAATAGAAATACCAAGGTCATTCTTCAGAGATCTAGAAAAAAAGGATATTAACATTCACATGTAAACACAGGAGACCCCGAATAGCTAAAGCAATCTTAAACAACCAAAACAAAGCCTGGGA